AATTCAATTTTCTGCATTTCAATTTTCTGTTTTTTTATTTTTAAAAAGGTGGTTGCTGTGAAAGTAGCACAAAATATTTCAACAACAATATTAGAAACTGTAAAAAATGTAAACAGTTTTTTTTTCAAATTATTATCGCATCTTTGGTGCGCGGTATGATGGGACACCTATACTAACAGGTAGAAAGTTAGTGAATTAGACATAAGCTGTAACGGTTGCATCAAATACAATTTTCTAGAAAATTCTGATTTTTTTTCTGATTGTAAAGAAAACTTCAAGAATTTTCTGTAGTAAAATTAAATTTTTTTTAACTGAATGATTTTTTTTTCAAGACCGACCTGATCCATGCACTCACTTGCATTACTCGCTCGATGTACTCGCTTAAGTCACTCACTCAAAACTGTTTCATTTTTTTAAAATGTTGCTTGAATCACGATTTAAGGGCTATACCATTCGACCCATTCAGATGATTATTTGTGAAATCTTTTTTTTTTTGCGTGAAAAAAAAAACTGAAAAAAAACTGATACAGACCCCAACTAATTTCCTACCCATTTGTCGGATCAACACTTTGCCTGTGCTTTTTTTAATGAAAAAAATTGGTACCATTGAAAAAACTTCTTTTTCAACAAACAACAAGGTACTACTCATTGAGAATACATGTGATGAAAACTGCAGACAATCTAACTTTCATGCTCAAACTGAAATTATTTTTCTTCTAAAAAACAAAAAAAAATTTTTGCAAACTGCTTCTATACAGGGTGATATCAGTTACTGCGTAAATGGAATTAATGAAAACAGAATTTTGCAATTCTATAATGTTAAAAATATTTGAAAAAGCTGAAATCGTGACAAGGTTCAATCCTACATCCTTCTACTAGAAACCCATTTTCTTTATCTTTGAGTCACTCGTAGAAATTAAACACTGGCTAAGCCATCTAGCATGTACCAGTCTAATCACGGATAAAATCGTTAAAAATTTCGAAAAAAAATTAGAAAATCCTGCAGATTAACTTAAAATAGATTTTATTACATAATGAAAATCAATTTTCAGAATCCCTAAAAACATCATTTTTATTTTCCAAGAGTTCTAGAAATCAAAAAACATGAGAGGCTCAGGTATTTGCGGTGGTCAAAAAGTCAATTTTGTAACCAAATTCTTACAAACACTACACGAATTCTGTTTTAAGTATATTTCAAAAAATGTTTTAAAACTTTTAAAAGTGCTTGGTGTGTACAAAATGCAGTTTTTAAAAAAATTTGAAATAGGTTTGAAGTCAATTTAGATGTGACAAGTGTTTTAGCAATATTTTTGCATAAAACTAATTTAAATGGAGAAAATTGAAATTGATGATCGTACGCCTTCTCTTCATTATCTCTAAAAATTAGTTGACAAATAGTTAATTGACAGGAGCGATTACATTGCCAATTATCGGTTTATGCGTTTGAGCCATCGATTTTGCAAATTATCGGTTTACAGAGAGGAGTAGCTCAATGAAGAAAAACCCTTTGCTAAATTTTGGTTTGCGGCAAAAATAGAATTTTTTCAAAAGTTTCTCTAATTTTTTCCCCACTAGGTGACTTGAAAAAAACGGTAGCAGGTCATAGTAATTTTACGTAAATGGCGTTTAAGTTTTAACTTTGGACCAAATGCACTAAACATGTTTCAAGTTTGTTGCCATCTCAAGAAAGTTATTGTTTACGTATGCAAAATCCCAAAATTTTGAGCTCTTTGATAAGCAGTTTTTAAAACTTAGAAAAAGAATAATGAAAATGTTTTGCCTAAATTAAGTTTGAGAAGTTTTTGAACGCCTAGTTTTTTCAATGACTCACAAAGCAACAAAAAGCCTAAAAAATTTGCTTAGTGAAATAAATTATAGTTTTAAGTCACAGCCAATATTTAAAAGAAGGATAATATGAATGTCAGATTTAGATTCAGTGTTCTGAGCGAAAATTTAGTAGCCTTTTTTGTAAAGGAGTAATTCATAACGCCTTGTAATTTATAATAAGTAAAAAAAGATTTTACAGCTTTAATCGAACAAGATTTTGAAAGTGTAAGCAATTGTACGTATCAAAAAAAATTGCTAGCAAATGGAATGAAATCCATAAAAACATATATAAAGTTGCCTCAATAAACTACAACTTACCATCACAATTAGTCGATTGGAATTGATTGAAACTGATATTCTGAAGCCTTCTTCATCATCACCTCTATAAAATTGCTGCCTAACCGTTACTTGTCAAAAGAGGTTACTTAAAAAACGCTGTTTTTTTTGTGTTGGGTTATCAATTTTGCAAGCCTTGTGTATAAATAAAAGAAAAATTGCTCAGTGAAGAAAAACCCTTCACTGTATGACACCTTGTGGTCAAGCAAAGTTTTCCAAATTTGCTCTCGTTTTTCCCAAGTAATGAAGTTGAATGAAACAAACTGGAGTAATTAATTGGCTATAAATATTGTTTACGCTAAAAACGAATTCAAATTCAACATTTCTTTCACCTAAAACTGCTCAACCGAAAAATAGTTCAGTGAAGAACAACCCTTCACTGTATGATGCCTTGTGGTCAAGCAAAGTTTTCCAAATTTGCTCTCGTTTTTCCCAAGTAATGAAGTTGAATGAAACAAACTGGAGTAATTAATTGGCTATAAATATTGTTTACGCTAAAAATGAATTCAAATTCAACATTTCTTTCACCTAAAAATTGAGATTGTTTTTGGGTAATACGACATCCTGCATCAGACAAAATTGTTAAATTCTGGGCAAAACGTCCTTATCCATGTATTAATAAGCTTATAGACAACACAATTTTTGGTTTTCGAATTTTTATTGCAAAAGTTTGAAAACAAGGATCAATTTTTTGGATACACTTATGCAACTGAAAAATAAAGAAATTTCAAATAATAAAGCCTTTAGATGATTAACTTCGTACGAAGTACCAAAAATTGGCCTCAGGTAGCGTAAAAATTGCCAGATTGATATGATGAGAAAAAATCAAAACTGATTTTCAAAATTTTTTATACCGTATCAAAATTACACCAAACGAAACAATTTAATCTTATCGTTTTTTTTTTCAAAAAAAATTTCATATATTTTTTAATACTTTCTAAAAGAAAAAAACAATCTAATTTGATTAGATTTTTTAAGAACTACTTTCTAGAGTTTTTTTCAATCCCGCCGCAATTCCCCTCCTTCTCTGTCACAAAACAAAAAGTTAGCTACCTAAAAAACTTAAGCAATTCAAATTCGGCATTTTAACGAGAATTTTTTAGTTCAAAGTAGTAACCCAAAAATTTTATAATTCACAGCTGATGTAATAAGATTAAAGTTGATTTTAGCGGTATGAGTAGAAATTCATTTTACCACTCCAAAAAATGACTGATTTTAACGCCCTTCTGAGATTGTGTTGAGTAAAAAGTTCACACTAAATTTTTGCAGCCTTTTTTATCAAGATTTTGAAAGTGTAAAAAAAGTGCGGGAGTTTTGAAAAAGATATAAAAAGATATATTCAAAAGTTGGTGAAAAATTGATAAAATTTGACTAAAGTTCTCTGTTTTAATTTTTCTTGATATCTTTTTTAAAAAAGACAGGAATCGATTGGAATTGACAATCTTACGCCATTCAGGACGGGTTAAATACATGGAAAAATGCTGATTTATGTGTTGGACCACCGTTTTTGCAAGCCATTAGAATGAAGAGACGAATAGCTCAGTGAAGAAAAACCGTTATTGTATTTTGCTATTTCATTGTGGTCAAGCTATTGCAATTGCATTTTTCCAATTTTTTTTTCACCAATTCAGGTACTTGAATTATATAAATTCGAATAACTTTTACAGCGTTTCAGTTTTAGTCCTCTAAAAATAATGCGCACTAAGAATCAATTCAAACCAACTACTTTTGTTGACTTAGATCTGTTTGTGAAAGTTATTGCTTACAAATGCAAAGTCCAAAAATGAGTTTTTTGTCCCATCCTTGGAAAGCGATAAGACACAAATCTTTTTAATGGTTTTGTGTATTCAACGCTCTGTTGGTTTAAATCTCTGTCGTTATTTGTGGTGGAAGGGTGGCAGAAAATAAGTCCAAAATGATTCTGAGCTCTATTTTATAAAATTAATTTGCTAAAAGCTCATAATTTTGTTCATACTGTTCAGAAAAAAGTTCTGAGAATTCTCAACTGAGAACTTTTAGGACGCTTTTTTTTTCGATCACTTCCAAAAAAAACCAATCAACTTTAATTGATTTAATATAACTTATTTGGGAACCATTTTTCAAACCTGAAATGAACCAAAGTGACTCAAGTTTTCGCAAAAATATAAAAACTAAAATTATCTTAGCCTTGAAAAAATCATTTTGTACGTTGCATCAAAAATAAGGGCTCTGGCATGGTATAAATTTTGCTGGTTTATTTGAAAAACCGAAAATTGGTTATGAGAAAAACCAAAAAATGGTTATGCTTTTACTGGGTTAAGTTTTTGCGTATCATAGTAGAAACGAAATGAGACTTAAAATACCAATTCAGGCTTATCATATTTTTATTCGAGGATAGAGAGGTTAATTGTGTAATACGTTCTAAAGGATGCATAATTAGTATGATAATTTGTTCAAGCTTTTATTGTTGAATATTATTAATTCTTAGAGCTAGGTTTCAATTCCCCCTCGGCAGATACAAAAAATAGCTACCCAAAAACACTATAATTCAAGTAAGCTGATCCAAAATTATTACAATTCTTAGCCGATGTGGAAAATGGCATTTTTTTAATAATTTTTACACGATTTATATAATGATGTCTTTTGTTTTGTCTATAAAATATAGGAGTGAAGGGCAAAAGGCAATCTTTTGGTTTAAACATTGCAAACATTTTCCCCGTTTTAAATTTTTTCATAAATTTAACTCGTCGCATTGAATGTTTGGGGAAAAGATGCCTAGAGTTATGAGAGAACTCAGTAAATTGATTACTTTCACGCTTAACCTTTATAGATTGTTCAAAAAATTTTTGAAATTGAACTTCACTAAAAAACTTGATTCATCCTTGTCCATAAATAGGCATTAATCAAATCATAATTAATTGATTGAGTAAGCGTCAATTGACTATCGCGATTTCAAGAAGCTTTTAGTTCATAGTGTCTCAGAATTTCTTCACTTGTCCGAGGAGTTGAAGTTTCATGATGTATTAGTATCTACTATTGATAAATTGAGCTTCTCGAAAATATTAATACTTCAACTATCGACCCGTCGATGAGTTCGTTTATTGGCTTAGATAATGTAAAAGTGATATGTCTTTCAATCGATCTTTGTAATTTTAGCGTGACATTTCCAAAGTGGGCTCGGAACCTTCGATCGTGAACACATCTTCATCGTCATTGTACTGTCTGCCCAAATCACCAGAAGGGTAGTCGCTGTTGTTCATGTTCACGTGACTATAATTACTATTACCGGCATTGTATATAGCACTTGGATTCGAGTGTCGGTTGTAGCCCCTGGCTCGGCTGGTTGAGCTGCCCTTCCGAATGTACCTGTGCACGACCAGTGTAAGCACGACGAGCATAGCGATGATCGAGAGGCCCAGTATCACTTCGCCGAATACTGAAAAGATCGATATGTTGCTGTGGTACAGAAATTTTTTTTAAAGAGAGCTGAGAGGGTAAAGCGATTATAAAGTGGTTTTGATGGGGAATTTTTTAACAAACATTTTCCGAAGTATCCCAAACACAGCATTTTTGACACTTTTTCCTATACATTAATTTTTTTCAAAGATGTTCTCGCTCCTCGCGAAAATCGTCTGAAATTTTTAATAGAAAAAAGGTCAAAGTTTTACAGGTCAACTTACGTTTCCAGTGAGCGCGTTTGGGATCGTGTCCGAGGGGTTTGCCGACGTTGCCGCAGTTGTTCAGAGAGGAGTCACTGCTCCTCGTCAGTCTGTTCACACTCACCTCTTCGAGGGAGGGAGGGGTCGCACACACTCCCAGGAAACGCACATTGGTCAGCTGACTTGCCATCTCGTGGGAGTTGAGCCTACAAAATATAAAACGACTGCATAAAAACAGGAAAACTAAATTTAACCATATTCATTCATACATAAAACTATACGTAATAAAGGTCTCGCGCATGCCGCGTCTAATTCCTCGTTACCCAAATCTTGAGCTATATTTTCATCACAACTTCAGCTATTTCATTTTTTTCTAGGGTTGTTAGTTTGAACGCGTGATTTTTAAGTTCAATTTTTAGGATCTGTTTAGAAATCTTCTGTAAAATGGAATAATTTCAAAACTGTGAAAGTCTCAGTGTTTTTTGATTTTTTTGTCAACTCACATATAGCAGTTGCAGTGAAGGGGGTTGTCGAGGGCATTGATCTGCATGTAGGTAACCAAAGTGTCCCTCCTGATGTCCAAGTCCTCGAAGGTCTTGAAGTCAATCGTTTTGATCTGATTGTTCGTCACATCAACATGCACCTATCAGCAAAGTGCGATTGAATAAGGCAAACTTTAAAACTTGAATTATAAAACTCAAAAATTTGCCCCGCATGCCTTTTGCGAACGCCTTATCCCTCCTCAGGGATTCGATCCTTTCACCACCCAAAGGTTTCCCCGTTCGGTCCTATATTCATCTATCAGCCGACCAATCCTATTTTTTTAAAGCGCCAATGAATGCTCTATGGGGAAGGGAGAGCACGCGCCAAAAATAGAATATTTTGACCGAAGCTTTCCAAAAAATGACCAAGAACGTCATCTTTGACTTTTTTGAAAAGATTGCCTAAATCGCAGCGAGCCTTGTAAAAAAAAGGGTTCTAATAGTGTTCTTGGAGAGCTCGAGAATCTAGTAGAAAAAAGTCGAACTAAAAATAAACGTTTCCCAAAAATATTCATTGCCTCAATTCGAAGAGGAAGCCATAGTTTATGAGTAGTTTCAGCATGTATGAACCAGTTTTCGAAGAGGAAGCCAGTTTTTGAGTAAATTCAGCACGCATGTAAATTCTACGTAACCTATAAATCAATCTTCTTGGACCGTTTATGATGCTCCCCTACTGACTTCAATGACAATTTGGCTTTCTCTTAAATTCAAAAGTTTGACCCTGAATTTGACTTTGCAAGTGGCCTTGACCTGTGACTATATCACTGTACCTCTCCGTCGAACTTGTTGTGTGGAGACTGTCCCCTGAAGTGAATGAACTTGAAGAAGTCATGATGGAAGAAAATGAGGTTGTTGTAGGCTAAGTTCAAATAGTACAGTCTCTCCTGGTGCAGATAGCATCTAATCAAGACAGAAATTGACAGTAAAATGACTATAAAGTAATTCAACATTTTTTCCTTTTTCAAAAGCTTTTGTGAAAAAATTTCAAAACAGACACTTTCTCATAAATGTTTACCTTAACACTGCACTGCTACAGTTTGTGCCTTTGAATACAAGAACAAAAATATCATAGAAAGCAAAGCGACATGTTTTTTTAAAGAATGCCGATGGCTAAAAACTCATACTTTCTGCAAAAAATTTTTTAAATGCACCATACCAAGTGACGTTTATAAATTCAACAAACTCAAAAAAAGACACGTAGGGGCGGATTTAGGATTTTCTCGAGGGGGGGGGGGCGAATTTTGAAAAAAAATTCGGAAATTTTGACTACCGTTTTTTTTAGGTCGACCAAATTTTTCCGCGCTCTCCTAAAGAAGCAAAAAGATGCTGTTTGCTGTTTTTGCCAAATTTTTAGCGCCGCAAGCAAATTTCTGAAAAAACAGGTCAAAGTAGCCGTTTTGGTCACTTTTTGGAAAACTTTGACAAAAAATTGCGGTTTTTTTTGGCGCGCGCTTCCCCATAAAGTTAGTATATATTGACGCCAAAGGCGCCTTTAGTAAAATTTTAGGGTAAGTTGGTCAGAAAAGGATTTCTTAAAAAGTACCAAAGGGGGATCCTTTGGGTCGGCAAGGGGTCGGATCCCTGAGTAAGGGGCGTCCGCCCCTCTCCCCCTAAATCCGCCCCTGAAACACGGATAACTGGGTTCCTGTGAAAGTAGCACAGAAGTTTCAGACAATATTCGTAAGAAAACTTCAAAAACTTTTTCCTTCATTAAAATAGAGTCTTTATTTGTGCGTTGTGTGATTATAGAACTAAGCAAACATTACGAAAGTTAGTGAATTAGGAATAAACGACTACAATTGTCTTCAAAAATATTGAAAAATTTTATTGCCAAGGAAGCGCTAAATTAGGCTTCTAAAACTATTTTTTTAAACTAAAATCGATTTCTTGCTTTTGGACTGAAACTAAAAAATTTTAAACCAGTTTTTCTCGACACTGAGAAAATGTTTGGGTTTTTTTCAATGTCCTTCGAATCACAACTGAAAGGTTGTTGTGTGCTGAGAAAACTATACAAACGCGTAGAGTTCGACTGAGTGAGACTATCGACAGCATTGTTCTTCGAAAATAAGCAGAAAACAAAAAATGCGAAAACATCCGAAAAAGTTTTCTAAAATCTTTCTGACTCATTGCTGAACAATGTTTCGTTTAATTTTGAAGTACTCATTGCAGGCGCTAAATCACGGTTTTATATTTTTTGGAGAGGAAATAAATTTTGATTATCTAAATGAAATCTTCTTGTCTAATTTCGAGCTAAAATGTCTTTAATAAGATCTAATCGCTCAAAAATACTCCTTCAAAATGAGACTACAACTCGAAAATATCAAACCAGGTTTTCTTGTCACAGGAACTTTTTCGAAAACTTCAAGATTTTTTTTTTCGAATCACGAATGAATGATATATTACTCGACCCATTCCGATGATTATTTGTGGCACCTGATTTTTCGTGAAAAAAAAACTTAAACACATCCAAATTCGAAGTTCCTCCCTATTTTTAATGGTCGGAACAATAACAGCTGAGCTCTTTTTTCTAAAGTTCATCTTCTAACCTGTCCGGAGTGTAATCAGCAAGACATGAAGATGTACTGATGAAGTTGTTCTTGGACAGATCTAACTCCTCAAGAGTAGTAGGCAACAGGTCACTTGGAGGGATCAGGTCCAGATTACAGCCACGACATTTCAGGACTCTGTGAAAAAATGGCTACATAGTAAACTTGGGGGGGGCAGTGGTGAAGGAATGTGGCCCGTTTCGCCCAAACAAATTTTGCCCCCCCCCCTTAAATTTAGAGGCATATTTCGCCCCTCACACGTTTCGTCCCTATTAATTATGCACATTTCTTCCTTACAAGGTTCGCCCCTAACTTTTTATTCAGATAATTACTCACCATTTTCGTAATTGAAGATTTGAGGGGCGAAATATGTGAATACTATGGTGAATAAGCTTATTTCTCCACCTCTCAGTTTTAAGGAAGTCGGTTCCAGCTAAGCCCGCAATGATGTATGCTTGCTGTTTGAGGGTGAAGCATCAAATACCAGCCCAGTAAGCAACCGAAAATTAGCTTGTCTTCTTCAACACCAGTTCTCCATTAAAAGCTGAACAGCTTCGCTAGCGGACAAATTGCAGTACGTACAAGATGTCATTAAATCTTCAAAACCAGGAGCTGATGATTTCGCACCTTTCTAACCAGTTAAATAGCTTTGGCTGGCATTTTTATAGGATTTGTAGGGCTTTTGTGAAAGCAATTGATATTAGACTCAATGTTTTGTTTTCAGTTGCTGCTTACTATAAAAGTTTGGGAAGCATTTTACATTGCAATTATTCGCAACTACATCCAAATCTCACGTTTTGAAAACAAGAACATGTTTTTTCTTAAGCTTTTGATTGAAAGCTCAATTTTTTAAGTCCGATAGACGGTTGTTACCTCAATTTTGTCCACTGAGTCAAATTCGGAAATCCACCTCTCAGATCAGTGTAGGAGAGATCCAAATGTTCCATATATGGAAACATTTCGACCATACATGGCTCAATGCCCTCCATGTTGGGGATGTTGATGAGGTCTAGTCGGTGCAGGTAGTAATCTTTGGCGACGTTGAGTCCGTTTGCGGAGGCGTTGCAGGAGGGGAGCAGGTTGAACAACTTCGGCCAGGCATCTTTAAAAAGTAACATTTAGTTAAATCGTATATTTATAATAAAAAATGAGAAAATTATCAAGATAATTTACATAATTAATTACATAATCTAATCTCGGAGAATACGTAAAATCATCGAGGGACTGAATGAGATCAGATATTGCTATACGATTTTTTGTCATTACATAATTTTCCAAAAACTTTTCTCTATCATGTAATCATGCGGCTCAAAAATTTTACGACAGCTCAAAAATTTTACAGCTCAAAAAGTTTACAAAAATTAAGTTCAAAAGCAGTAATTCAAAACGGATTACCATTAGACATGACTGCAGCTTTCGGTAGCAAACGTTGATTTCAATTTCTGAACGCCGTTTAATCTTAGGTTAAATTTGAAAACTGGAAAATTGGAAAAACTTTTCACGAACTCATGCGAACTGCACTGAAATGGTGGTAATAATTTACCAGTGGTGTCTTTTTTGTACTGGATCATAAGTGAGTTCATGATCGCGTCTTGTTCTGTGTCGCCTAGCGGTTCCTGGCTGAGTCTTCGGGCCATGAGGCTGAACACATTCTCAGGTACTTTTATGCAGTCAGTTAGAGAGAGTTCGTTCAGATGGTACATGGAGTTGGTAAGCAGGGTGGTGTTCTCAACCAGCTCACAATTCTGGAAAAAAATTTGTTTTCTAGTTAACCAATTGTTCATAGTGCCGAGCGATTCATGAATGAACATAATAAGCTTTAGATCCAATCGACGTATAGGGTTTCAACCGCCATGATGGGCATTCTTTTTACAGAAAAACTGTCTTGACTTTTTACACTGGACCAGCGTTGGCTTTTTTATACCCTCTCGGAATTTTGAACAGTTTTTAACGTTAAAAATAATAAAAAAAAAAACGTTAGAAAACAGTGTAAAAATTTAAATTCAACACCTAAAAAATTCAATGATTTATCAGAAATGATGCTCTTTCTTGAGAGCTTGTAAAAAGAAAGCAAGCTTAGCTGCTTTTTCTTGTCTCAGTCGGTTTCTGATATCGCTGTGGACAAAACCGAGAGACGAGAATACAAGCTCAATATCTGCAGAAGACGGTGGCAAGCCGAGAACTTTCACCGCGACCTGTCCTAGAAATAGTTAGATGTGAAAAAGTGTTGAAAATTCAATGTTTTTAATGCTAAAAAACACTGTTAATTAACATGAGGGTTTTTAACATGCCAACTCTGCACTTAACATGCCAACTATGCACTCAATTTAAAAAAGAGAAGGATTCTCGATTATGGAAATACATTTTAGCATCTCTGTATGTGAGCTCCTATTCAAAACACCTCAGAGTTATTTTGGCTCTTTTCCACTCCCGTTATTTTTTTTATTTCAAAAAACCTTTAATTTTGTTTCCCATTTATTTATTCAACAATTTGTTATTTTTGAATAGCTCAATTTAACAAAAACAGCCGGTTACTGTGCAAGTAGCACAGAATCTTCCGACCATAGTCTTAAAAAGTACAACTGAGTAAAATTGAAACTTTTAATGTGGGTTGAATCACAATTATAAGGGCTAAAATGTGGTATGTCACTCAACCCAGTCCGATGATTATTCGTGCTACCCGATTTTGCGTGGATAACAAAAAGAAAAACAAAAAAAGAAAAAAACTAAATTACACCCAAATACAGAGTTGCTCCCCTTTTTCAATGATCCGAATAATAAATATGCAAAAAAAAACTTTATGATGCTACCCGATTTTGCGTGGATAACAAAAAGAAAAACGAAAAAGAAAAAAACTAAAACATACCCGAATACAAAGTTGCTCTCCTTTTTCAATGGTCGGAACAATAAATAAGCACAAAAACAGTTATGGCCTCGATAGATCAGATCAAATCAAAATCAAGATAAAATCGCTCGCACCAGGAAGAATTCTGGTGTTTAACCGTACAAATCCCTACCCCCAAATCGATATAGTATGGCTGGTCAACTTCCATTTCAAACCATTTCAGGGTTCGTTTGTGCAATATATATATATATATATATATATATATATATATATATATATATATATATATATATATATATATATATAGCAATATATACTGCGCTAGTTTTGAAAGGATTCTTTAATGGAATCAATTATGAAAATTTTTATAGTGGGGGTGGTGTTTCCATGATTGAACCATTTGAATTGTAAGTTGGTGAATTCTACGATTGATCCTATCCTGAAATGCTAACAAAAACTGTAACTGATGAAATTTTTTGAAATTGTTCTCTGATGTTCTGCTCCGTCAGAGAACATCAAAAAGAAAACAGAATAAAATTTGGACAATATCAAAGTGTGAAAATTTGAGTCGCACGAAATTACTACGACCGGTAATCTAGCCTCAATTCAGTTTGGAACGATTTTGTTGGGCGGGATAATTCGCCACACATAAACAATTCGCGTTACCCTCTCAGCAATATGAATAAAGGCGCATAATTTAGTCCAATACAAAGCCAATCTGACAATTTTCAAACCCTCAGAACTTAACAAAAAACAATTGGAGGTTAAAAATATGATTCTTATGCACAAAACGGCCCAAAGTTAAAATCTTTATATCTTTTTAGCTAAAACTAATGCGGAAGAATTTGATTGGCTAATATTAGCCAATCAAACTCAAGCAACATGGCCAGGCCATTGAAATTATACCCAAACAAAAAGTTCAGTAAAATGGTTTCAACGCGAAATTTTTTTTAAATCGTTTTGGTCATTTCGGCCAATAATTTTATCAGCTTTAAATTTGAATTGAAATGCCGGACCATGTTGTTTGCATTCGATTGGCTAATGAACCAAACAGATTAAACCACATATTGACTTACGATCAAGATGTAGAAATACTTGTTTTGGGCCGTTTAGTGCATGAGACCCAAAATTATTATTTCGATCGAACAAATAATCATGATCTACAGATCTTGTTCAATTGAAGTCTGCGCGTTCACTTTTATAGATAAGTGAACTTAGGAATTCACAATTTCGAACAGCAAACTGACACTTTGCCAGTTTTGAAACCCTCAAATGTTCCCGAAACACTGAGGGGAACTATTATCTCAATAGTTAAAATTGGTCTACAACGAGCTTTAAAAATGTACACCTTTTTTGTTAGTGTGAAAATAAAGTACTCATTTCAGGCTGTTTTGCCTCCAAACATTCAGTCCAGTTTTTTTTTGCGACATCTCGTTCACTCTATGATTGAGGCAAGTTAGACTTTTGAACTTATAAGCTGTAATCGTGCAGACCAAGTAGAATACGAGTTGCTCAACATACTTTGTTTTGTTTTGAAAGTTGATTAGCATTTTTTTACCAGTCTGAAAAAATGCAACTTAATGTCATAATCAAATAGAAATATATGCTTAGGTGCCATTCAAACAACTTTCTTTCTGCGTTTTGGTTATGCCTTAGATTTGATATAAAATTGTTTCAAAAAGAAGTTTTCAGTATAAGTAACTAACGTATTATGTACACTTATTGAAGATTGATTATACACTCCATGAAAGGTAAAATTAAATAAGTTGCGCTCAAGAGCTAATTGGTGAACTTTAGTAGACTCTGCTCAGCTGTTTATTTGGCAAAAATTTGAATAATCTAAGCAATTGATTTGCTAAGTGACGGGGCTATTCTCACGATATACGCACCCAATGCACTAAAATGTTCAACCAAACATTTTTTTTTGAAATTTCCGAAATTGAGTAATTTTCCATTTTGGCTCTTTTAATTTTTTGAAAAGTAAACTCTTGTTAGGTACCACAAATTTCCGGCCATTTGCTCTCTGGAACGGATGGATAATGCAAAAATCTGAAATTTTTTTTTGAAGTGCACAAGCAAAGACACCATTCAGTTTAGAAAACTTCAAAGGTTTGATTCGCTGAGAAATGTTGCGCATTTGATGCTTCGCGCACTAGATTAGCACCCATTTGGTTCATTTGGCATGAAAGATTCCCCTTAAGTGGCATTCCGTTACACTTACTACAGTTATTGCAATGAAAGAAAAAAAAGCGTTAGCGAAACGGGATAGTTTTGCGCTAATAGCAATGCAGCATTTCCAGCTATTTTGCACTCAAGACACAGTTGACTTTTTCCACAAAATTTTTTTTGGCCGATGTCATTGTTTCACCAACAGGATCAATTGTCCTAGACTCAAGTACCTCTGCCGAGAAAACTTTGTTTTCGACGTTATTTTTTACTGAAATTGATCCATGAAAATGAAGCATGGCATGAATATCATACTTGAAATCAATCAGAAAAAACTGCTATTTGTTTTTATTTTAACAATTCGATTGTAAAATAATATTGATAATAAATTGTTTCCAAACGATATCTAGATGCAGAGTTATTTATAAAAAATTTACAAATACAAATTGGAATCGTTTGGGAGAACACCATTAAGGCAATCGGGCCGTGCTGGCTTAATGGTGTTCTCCCAAACAATTCCAATTTATATTTGTAAGTTTTTATAAATAACTCTGTAACTGGATATCGTTTGAAAACAATTTAAAGTTCCAACTTCCTTAACGAAATTAACGGAATATTTGTGCTCGGGGTGGGTTTTTTTTCTTCAGACAAATTTCGACTTTTTAACTAGCCATTTTTGACCAATTTCTTTTGCATCATTCTAAATCTATTGTTGTCTTGAGCTTAAATTTGAAAAGTCATTTCACTTGTGATCATTTTTTGTAAATTTATGGTGGTTTAAAGATTGCCATTCTGGCCATTTTTGCCAATTTGGGAAAATTGCGATATATTTCACGCTACTAACGCACAAGCGAGATTTAATCCGTCTTAGCAATCGTTCCAAATTGTTTCAAGGAAAATTAAATGCCATAATTGATTTGTTAATAGGAGCAAAATCTATCACTTTGTACTTAATATTGCGTGTGGGGGGATGTTTTCACAAAAAATCTCAAACTTTTCAGATAAAAAAATTGTAATTTTCACCTTTAAATTTTTCTTGTTATTACTGCTCCATAGACTTTAATAGGTAGTCGGAACATTCAGGGCTTCGCCCTGATACGAGCAATCTTGTTATGATTTTTAAATCGAATCGTTAAAATAGAAACAAATAGCAGTTTTTTCTAATTGATTTCAAGTATGATATTCATGCCATGCTCCTTTTTCATAGATCACTTTCAGAAAAAAAACGTGAAAAGTAGTTCGCAGATTGCAACTAGAATTTTTGTTGCAACTAGAACTACAGCTGAAAGAATTATCTGTGGTAGGTAAGCTTAAGAGAAAAAACGCGTGCTCAAGTACCAAAATGTTTGGCTGAGCTCCAAAAAATCTGACTGAGTTTTTGGTTGTGTATTAAAAGTTTAGTATTCAAAAAAACTTCACTGCGTGCTAGATCCGTATAAACACTGCAAAATTCTGTATTCCAGAGAACACATTTTAGGGTTAGTAAAAATATATAAAATATATATATAGAAAAAGACCTTCAATTCCAATCTCTCAATCACATGACGTTGGTCGTTGAACCGTTCATACTGAATAGGGTATATGTACGACTCGTAAAGTGTCTCGTTCGTCAACTCTCGGCCATTGCAGTCACAAACAAGCACTTTTTCCGAGACAAAAGTACACTTGATTCGAGACAAGTCAGGAACCAACTCGGGTGATGTTGTCGTGGAAGTATATGTCCTGGTTTCAGTGGTGCTTATTAACGTTGCTTTAGATCCCAAAATTCCTACAATAAAAATAAGCAATGAAAGTCGAAAGCTATTCAAATTTTGCATCATTTTGGAGTGAATATAGTATTGAGTAACTAGGCGCTTATTTTGAAAGCTATGAGTTTACAAAACACAATGAAAATTCGTGAGATTGTAAGTTGAGTTCAAGCTGAACACGATTTGCTTAAGAAGTTGGACATTAAAATCATGAAACATTTTATTAGAATGGATGTTTAGTGAAAAGATTAAACACAGGAAGTTTGCTTTCTAATTATTTTGACAAACACTGTCAAATTGATACATTCAAAACCAAGTTATGACGGCTAAGTTATATCTGAACACCTAATCATACCAATAACTTATGAAACAGGGGTCACCACTCTTGAGTTTATTTGTTGGCAATTTTGGCATACTAATGAATCATTACGGGTTCGATTAAATGGATGCTTAAAAAGCGAAGATGAGGGGCGAAATTCTCAGGATTATAAAATTTATCTACTCGATCCGTGACTATTCTTCGACCTTGACGATCGTGCCGATGTTAATTCCGCTACCTGAAACTCATAGTCTGGGCAGGTTTTTAAGTCGCGGACAACATCGGTCGAAAAATAAATCACGACCGACATGAAAATTGAACGACCTAGGTTGTTGATATTTAGAAAAAGTTGGCGGGTCAAGTTTTTTGTATGTATGCAAAAATCTGCAAAGAAAAGATCATACAAGAAAACAGTTGAAATTGAGAGGCAGTTATCCCAAATGTAGAACCATTTATATCTGCGATTTATATTCTCGATTGACCGAACAAGCATAGGCAAAACATGATTTTCTTCACTAACTCCAACATGAACAGAAGATAAGGAGCTTCTGGGTTGTTTTTCTGGTTTGAAACTTTGAAATGTGTTTCAGTATCAGTAAGAAGAGATGTTAAGCTGACAAAGACTTTCGCCTCTCATTCGAAAATCAATGCCTTGAAGTCAACTATAATTCTTGCTCTTGCCTGCGGGCAAAGGAACAGTTCTGAACCCAGAAAACCTGTCAAAAGAAATGCATTAGTTTCTCTGGCAGGGGCACAACAGCGGGACGATTAAAGGGAAGTAGTTATTTCAAAATATTTGTGCTAGTAGTTCGGTAACTCTTCTATGTCTATTTTTTTCATGTTAGCCCAAGTTCTGAGTCGTGAAAAAAATATATTCAATACTTCTGCAAACTAAGTTTAAATGCCACTACTCGGAGGGAGATTGTGATTTTACGTTGAAATTTGCTATTTCGCGAAAGAACAAAAAGATCATTTTCGCGGCTTTTACTACCAACAAAAGTTGCCCAAGACAGGCGCGACCGAAGATCAGTTGTCCATGACCGGTTCTAGGATACCAAATCAAGCATGTTTATCTTTAAACTAGATTTTTTGAGACAATCAGGAAAGACTTCATTTAGATCTCTGGATACTGCAAAGCAGACTCCCTTTGCTTGCTCAATTGGTAAGCTTCCTTCAAGTTTGCCGTTTGTATTTTTTAGACCACTAACTGCTAGATTGACGGCAAAGCTTCCACTTAGACCATTTATAAAAGAACAGCAGCGATAGATCATCCATTGCTAGAAGACTACCCGTTTGCACATACCACTAACCGTTGGATTTGAAGTAGTTATTGCCTTCTTCCAATTTTTAGAGAAAACTTTCGGATGACTAAGAATGATGAAACAAAACGTTGTTGATAGCATTTTTTCCGACAATCGAAACAAGTGACGGAATATGTGTGCTAGTAGTTATTGCCTCTTTCAAAACATAGGGCAAATATTTTTGGATGTCTGAGAATGCTTAAAAAATAAATTGTTGATGTCATTTTTGTTCCGACTTTCGAAGCAGGTGACGGAATATTTGTGCTCGAGATTATGTTTCGTAAAATTAAGGGGGTTTAAAGATTGCCATTTTGTGACAACTAACGCGCAATATATTTCGCGTTCTTAACGCTCAATTAGAGCATCAATCCGTTTTAGAAATCGTTTTAACCTGGTTGAAGCAAGCTTTTTGTATAAATGCCTCGTTACGAGGAGTGAAATATATCATCTTGTATTCTATATAGTGTCATAAAGATTAAGTTAATTAACGAATCATTTTAGTTGCTTTTCAAATTCCTTCGTAGTGTCAATTAATCTGTCAAGTCTGGTGCTAGCAGGTGCTGGCCTTCGAATTCGTTCGTCACCTTTGGTTGAATTCCAAATTTTTGTCTCCGATCAATCTAATGCTTTAAAGTTGTCCATTTATGTGTCTGAAATTAACAGTTTTTATAACTCTTTCTTAACATGGCGCAGCCAAGAAGCCAAAGTGGGGGAAAATTCATTCGAAAAACATTAATTTGGTCACCGAAGCTTGCGGAACCACCCATGCCATAGTAGTTCTGGTTAACGGATTCAGTGGGAATTGGTGGCGCAACTGCTTTGGTGGCTTTGTCGGAAAGAATCGATTAGAGGAGGAGCAGACGCTCATTTCTAAATTTTAACTAGGAGAAAGGAAAGGAAAGGATGAATTTCACAGGCGCAGACTACATCTGGATTTAGGGATAATCCGTTATCCAGAGAATCTCGGTGCGATTGAAGCGGATTTAAGAAAAAAATAAATGAAGCGTACGAAACGTTTCAGTTGCTAGCGCAAACACAACATACCGGGGAGACTCTAGAACAGTACAATTCGGTTCTGAGCGGACCTGTGGCACAAGGTGATTTCAAAACGAAAGAGACAAAGACATTGAGGGCTTTACTCCTTGCGATCAGGAATAACCGAGAAGCAGAGAACTAGCACTGCAGGTCGACTAAAACTCCAGAGGAGGTATATCGGATACCGTTATTCTACGAGCTAAAGAAAAATTACGCGAAGATCTATGGGGAGAGACGTCGATCGGAAAACCAGGGGAGCATTCCAACTCAAACCCCAAAAATGTTACCGATACGAAGAGGATACAATCGACTAATTGCACGAGACCCATACCAAGGACGCCCGAACAATCGGGGAGCACAACCGAGAAGCCGTCGTGTTGTATTGCAATCTGGCAGGATTCATTCCTGAACACATGGAAGTGTTCGTCGAAGTATGCTACATGTAATTTCTGACAATAGAAACCCAGGGCGGCCCGAAGTAGAATTATCTCAAGGATTTGAATGATTCGAAGAGATGGAAATTATCCACTGAAAAATGAGAGTTTTGTAGGCTGCGTCAATATGCCGAGATACCGATCATGGGATTCTGACAGCTCAGGGGATTACTTAGTGATCCCTGATCTGAGTGAAACAGACATCAACTGATAGGAGGATGGAAAAAAAACAGAAAATATCTCAAAAACAAAGATCTTTTAGCGGTACCAATCGTTCAAGGAGTTCAGTTTTGTATCATGAAAAAAAATATTATGAAGCCACAAAGCTAGATATTCTACAGTCAGACCAATTCAAAGCAATGAATAACACTGATGATTTGGTGGTATTGAAGAGTTAGAAAGAAATTAACAAAGAGCTGTTGAGTCTGAAAAAAGGCAATGACATAAGTGAACATCTCTACACCAAATTGAAGTCAACAGGTAAACAATCGGCTCATTTGTACGGTTTACCAAAAGTACCTAACAAAGACATACCACTGCGCCTTAATCTATATCGGCGTGGAAGTTCATATGAGAACTTGAACTGAACAAAACAGTGGCTAAATTTTTTCACAAAAATGAGGGAGCGAACATAGAAAAAATTCACAAGAAGCACAAGAGTTTATTGAGAAAGTTGAATTATGTTAAAGTTTGGACACTAATGTTCCACTCAATGAAGCTATCGACATTGCATTCAGAAAGTTGTTTGAGCAAGACAACCTCCAGACACTACGAAGAGATTCCTAAACCTCGATGTAGAATAAGTGCAATTCAAATGTGGTATACACAGAAGAATAGTTTGGCTAAGCGAGCCTCTCTTGCAGTCATTCTGGCAAATTTGAGGATAAAAAACTCGAACCCGTATTGAGCAAAGAGATTCCCAAAAATGCAAGCCAATGGAAAATCTAAATGGCAGCTGTCCAGAATGAACGGGAAAAAGATACGTTTAGACAGAAAAGTGTTGATTGTGAAAACTGTCGCAATCGGTTCCATCAAAAATGTAAAAAATATCAAAAAATAGAATATTGAATTTTAGCTAAAATTGTTTGGTTTTGCTCTTCACGCTTTGAATTAAAAAAAAGAGATCAACACTCGAAAATAAAAGAAATTTTTCTGAAACATGTAGATGTTATCATGAGAACTGTGAAAGGTTTTTCAGAAGAGTTCTTACAAGCTGCAAATCAATTACAATCCTAATCTGCAATTAACTTTAAAAAAGCTTACGAGACAGACAACTTAGCCCCTCATTACATTAACGTTAACGCGTAAACACATAAAAACGTTATCTGCGGTTGGTATCAAAAACTCGCTATTACAGGGGCAGTTTTTTATTTTATGAGCAGCGTATTACTCCGTTATAAGAAAAACAAAACAGAAGACGCAAGTCATTGAAATTGAAGAAGAACTTCAATTTAGTATGAGCTCGATGACACCATGAAAATAAATCGAAAACCCAAAATCTTAGTCGGAGAAGAGTGTTTCCAAGTACTATGACAGACTCATCAAAGGAAAAGCCAACAATAGCCCTAACAAATACCTACATCAAGTGGTTTTTGATATGTCAGTCACACCACCATTGCTATTGGTGCAGTACTGAATGAAAGAAAGCCTGATATTTGGAAATAAGGTGCGGAACATAATCAAGGCACCAATTGTTTTCAACACCACAAAGCTGAAAACCCACCTACTATCCTTAAAGTTTTTCCGCGTGAACTAAAAACAAAAGTGTTTTATAAGATTTCATAATGTGGATGTAACTCCCCCGATTTTGCCCAAACGTTTCGACATCTGTTCCGTAGAATTGACAAACACCAAAAAGAGGACACGATCGAAGGACAATATCTAAGGCAGCATGGAAATCAGTACACGATTGCGGGAATGCCATGGGAGGTTATAGAACAAGCTAACACAAACGGCAAGCTACAGAAATAAGAGCACTTCGAATTCGAAGGAGAAAACGAGAATAAACATGATCGATGAGTTTAAAAGCAGGAAATAGACAGTGAAATTATAGTTCCAAAAATGATTTTCCGGCTCATACAAAAAGACTCTGAAATAAAAAACTGACATGTTTCGGTATTGGAAACCAAGACTAATCAAAAAATGCAATTTCAATTTAATTTGA